GGAGGGCCTCCTGGAGCTCGCCGGGGCCGGGCTGGGGAAGGCGCCCACCTCCGCGCGGCGCTACCGCCGGGAGCCGCTGCCCCGCTGCCTCCTCCTCCTTCCCGGCCGCCGCCCGGCTGCTGGCCCGGGGGGAGGGAGCGGACGCAGCCGCGCCCCGCAGCCGTCCCCGGCGCCGCCCGCCCCCCCGCCCCACCAGCCCCGGGCCGCGGCCCCCCCACCGCCGCGGGGGGGAAGGGAACTTACACGCGCGCCCCTCTGCGTGCCTGCGTCACGCCTCCGCCACGTCACGGCGACGGCGCGGTGTGGCGTCACGCCCCGCGGGAAGTCCGTGTGGCGTGTGGGCGGCCTCCCCCCCCCCATCCCAGCGCAGTGCGCAGGCGCAGCGTCGGGGGTGGGGATGGCGGGCAGGGAGCGGGGTTTCAGGGGTGGATAAAGGAGTTTGGAAAGAGCAGGAGCTGCTCTGGGAAATGGGGATGAGGGGCCTGCGAGCAGCGGGTCAGAAGGGAGCACAACTGGCTGAAGGCGAGCCAGCATGTGCCCAGGTGGCCAGCAGCATCCTGGCCTGTATTAGGAACGGTGTGGCCAGCAGGACTAGGGGGAGATGGTCCCCCTGTACTGGGCACTGGTGAGGCCTTACCTTGAGTGCTGTGTCCAGTTTTGGGCCCCTCACTCCAACAAAGACATCGAGGTGCTGGAGCGTGTCCAGAGAAGCAGTGCAGCTGGTGAGGGGTCTGGAGCACAAGTCGTGTGAGGAGAAGCTAAGGGTGTTCAGCCTGGAGAGAAGGAGGCTGAGGGGAGAACCTATCACTCGTTACAACTACCTGAAAAGGATGTCGTAGCAAGGTGGGAATTGGTCTCTTCTCCCCGATAACAACTGATGGGATGAGAGGAAACGGCCTCAAGTTATGTCATGGGAGTTTTAGGTTGAATATTAGGAAAAGTGTCTTCACTGAAAGGGTCGTCAAGCACCGGAGCAGGCTGCCCAAGCGGTTGAGTCACCATCCCTGGAGGTGTTTAAAAGACGTGTAGACACGGTGCTGAGGGACGTGGTTTAGTGGTAAACTTGGCAGTGTTAGGTTAACGGTTGGACTTGATGACCTTGAGGGTCGTTTCCAACCTAAATGATTCTATGAAAGAGGAAAAGTGAAAATTTGACAGAAATAGAGTAATACGGGATTTAAGGGAAAGCTGAATGGAGAAGCACGTTGTGAAGGAGGGAGATGAGAAGGTGCAGAGGAAGGGAAGTGTAGAAGACATAAGTGAGAAAAGAGAAGGGAACCATAACATTCAAAAAAAAAAAGAACCTTTTTTTTTTCCTTCTAACCATCCTGAAAACTACTTTTTCCCATGTAGCCAAAAAATAAAAAGGAATTAAAAGTTTAGGCTCTTTTTTAACTCAGATTTCAGAAAATACATGTGAATTAGAATTAGTTATTTTAAACATAAACACAATCTTATGGATACAGTAACTTCATTTTGGCAAATGAAATGTGAGGGGATAGGACAGGCAGAGTGGCTCAAAGTCATTTCAGAAGCAAGGTACGTTTATGATAACGGTGCTGTCCTTCAGTCGCGTGTTCCACTTGGAGGCTCTGTAACTGAAATAACTGTTCCTGTGCTTCAGAATACTTCATTTAAAAGTCATTTACAATTTCAGCAGGAACTGAAGTTTAAAAATAAACATACTTATTCTTCACCTTTTTGTGCCTATTAAAGCTGAAGCGTTTTGCAGTTACAGAATCTATAAAATGCAATGAGTTTGAAGGTGAATCCTCCAAGAGTTCTTAAATTACAATTCCTTTTGAAGTCATACGAGTCTTAGTTGTTGCTTAAGCAAAACCATTACTATATTCAGTATGTGTACTGCCTTTCTGAACCACAAACGAGGCATAATTAGCATACAATGGTTCTTGATATATTACATGCCACTTGGAGAGACACAAAATATTCATTCTGATGTGCCAATGTGTTTCTGCCTTTACCAGCTATTAGTTTCCATTTTAAAGCATAATAAAATACTATGATGGATTTGTCTGTTGCAAGTGAAAAAGAAAAGAGATCTGATGACAGTATAAACTTCCATTATAGACTGTTTTCAGTATTCACAGAAAAGATCAGTTATTTCTAATGGAGAGTATATTAATTTTCCTAAAACCTCATTCATGATAAACTATAGAAACTGTAGCAGCTGAAATGAATGTCAGTCTGGAATATCAAGTTTTAAAACAGTACTGGAAAAATAATTCATTGTAACTTGTTGAAGATAATATTTTGTTTGGGGTAGCACGTCAGCATCGTAGGTGGTGATATTCTGAAGTACTGTTTCCTGAATACTTTATGGAAAAGTGTATCAGTGATCTCAGTTCTATTTTACAGGCTTCTGTGAATGAGTTTTCCTTAACACAATGTGATAGAATGAGTTTATAGTTAGAATTAAAAGTGAACGGAACTTAGTAACCAATGAACAATCAATACAATAGAAAAAATAGCAAGCTATGATACCTGATGAAGATGTTAATTTCTCTTTTTACAGCCTACAATGGACAAAGAGATACTGTTTTTAAGATTGCATTGGCAATGTTTTAAAATAAATATTACATGGAGAACATTCTTCCTCTGTTGTCTGTAGATTATAAGAGTGGTAGCGGACTATCACATAGAATAAACTGAAGAGTATACCTACATGATTAAGAATTTTATGATGTACAGTATTTACATGCACTATTTACAAGAGTATTATTATTTTGGGGTAATAAACTGGCTAAAAATATTTCATAGTCTTAAAGCTCACGTTAATTTTTTCAGATCTGGCAATGTAGTATATTTTTGCAGTTAAGTCAATAGAGATGTTTGCACAGTAGTGCATTTGCCATATATCAGCACAAGTGGAAGTGCCAATACATTGTAATAAAGGGGAGAACCGCTGTCTTACGTGGTGCTTTGAACTGAAGCCTTTGGGAGGAGAGCAGCTTGAACAGACCGCTGTAATTCTTCCCTCCCTCCCATAATTTGTGACGTTTTAGAATGTTAATTGTTAGTCTGCTGTTCTCTCTTACACTACATGGAGGAATTTTACATCACATTTAGAGACAATCCGCCCACATGCATAGTACTAGTTTGGATTCAACCAGGTGGAGAATTGTTTAAGTTAGTTTTGGTTTAGATAGTGAAGTTTGGAGTGCTACAGCAGCCTATGTGTTTTTAAAGATGATTAAGGTATTTAAATTCAATGTGCTAGAGCACAGACTCGAAGAGTTTGAGGAACTTTCAAAACACCGAACACAAGCTTTAAAAAACCCCTAAGTACCAGACTTCTCCTGCTTCCCACAGATTAGGCCTCCTGCTGGCTATTTGTACCTGTTAAATATATAAGACGGTTAGGCTTTATAATGTCTACACTTCACTGCTTTGAAACAGCAGTGATAATTCTGACTTAAATATTGTGAAGATACATTAATAAATATGAGGAAAACTCTTTGAAGTTGAAAAATATAATGAGGTTTAAGTATATTCCTTTTTGTTATCATTAACCTGTCAAACCTTTAAATGTTGAAACACTGTTCTTGGGAAAAAAAAAAAGCAGAAATGCCAATTAAGATAATAAAGAAGCCAAGATCCAGATCAACTAAGCAGAACAAGCAAGTAAAATAAATATGGAGAAAAAATCCAAGGAGCAGAGCAGATCTGAAAAGCTACAACTCAGAAAAATGAGAAGAAAATCTCAAACAAATGCTGCCAGCAACTGGAAGGACAGTTAGTGTGTTACTAAGAAACACCTTTGCATAAAATTCAGATTTCATGAGTGTTAATGTGTCAGAGAAGTCTGGGAAGCAATTTGTCTCCTAAAGTCTCAAATGTATCAACCATGCCCTGTAAGTTCCTGTTCTCCTCTGACAAAGAGGGAACTACCTCAAATAGATGAATCCCACCTCTTCAGAGTTCAGGTACCTCCAGCTTTGGAGGATGGCTTAATTAACGTTTTCAGATAACAATTTTGATCTAATCTTAAGATTAGACAGATTTCAATCTAATCTTAAAACATGGAGTGAGCAGAGGTCCATAAGCGAGGTGGATGACAGACTTCAGTCTGCTGAAGTGGGAGAAAATAGACTTGCAAGAGTAGGAAGGAGGAGGAAGGATCAAACTCAGGGACAGCAAGCAGAATAATGTTGCACACAAGAACACATCCCATTCCAAATCCTGGAATGGATACAAGGTGCTGAGTTTCCGTATTTCCCTTTACAATAACATATATTTGCAGACTGAAGGTCAAAACCATATAACTGCATTTGCACAGAAGATGAGAATCCATCATCGCTAGTAGTTAGCCCAGTAGCCAAAACGACAGAGGTCTGTATGGTGGATCACCCACCCAACCATAAAGAGAAAGCAAACACATGGTAATCGCTCACTTAGTGAACCTTCTGTTCTGTGTTTTTTAAAAAAAAGGTGGACACACATAACTAAGAACTGTATCATCCTGCATAAGCACACAGAAGTCAAAATAACACTGGTTGGCATTTCCTAACTTCTCAGGATGTGATTTCTCAACCTCCTAATATTCTTTCAATGTAGCTTTTGTGTTGTGATATGTGGAAGGCCAGAATTTATATCCATTATTATTGCTTCATAGAAGAGAGTAGGAACATATTTTAAGTATTTATTATCCTTCTTTTGAGGTGACACTTTCAAAAGCTTCTAAGAAATCATAAAGTAAGAAAAATCTCTCTTTGAACTGATTTTGTACCATCTTAGGATGACTGATTTTTCAAAGACAGGAATAGATTTCAGCAACATGAAAGGTTTGACTGGTGATGCCAAATAAAAATTATTAAAAAAAAAAAACAAGCTGCGTGTTCTAAAGTTTTCATTTAATGCCCAACAAGTTGATCTCTGTCCTTCAAGGTAATAAAATACTGTGACAAGCCAAGAACACATAGTTCTTGTCTCTTTTTTTTGTTTTTCTTAATGAGAAGCCAAGGAAACCCACGTGACTGAGAGGAAAGTTGCAGGCTTGCAAGCAGGAAGAAGTAAACTCACTTTTCTCAGCCTCGCAAGATATTTTTTACTACTACTGTGGACTAAAAAGCCTCTACAAAGAACTATAGCAATGGGAAGCAAAAAAAAAAAAAA